GGTTTGAACCAAGTTTTTTTAATTAAAAATGAATGCATACCGAGAAAAACTAATGTTGTTGTTTTAGCCGAAGCTTGCCTTCTCCATTTTATTCAAAATCTTGGAGTCTTTAAATTATACGTCGCAATATACAGACTTTGTTACATCATTTTTATTTGGTTAGACAATATTTCTTCTGAATTTGCTTTGCATGAAGTTAGGGAAGTCAAAAGAGAAAAATTAGTTTGAATAATCACTTTGAAATAAATTTAAAACAAATTATTTTAATGACGGGAATTTGAAAGTTTTTTATAACAAATGTAGATAAAAAATAAATAATTAAATAAAAAGTTCAACATTAAACATCATTTCTTTTTTATATTGCGACTGTAAATATTGAAATATTAACTTTAACTAAATTGACTTATTTTTTAGAACAACTAAGCAATAAAAATAAAAAGTCCCTAAAATCATGCGATATTGTGTTGTTTATTTGAATATTGTTGTTGGTAATGTTGTTTATGTTGATTATTTTCATTAATATCTAAATAGTCCCAGATTAATCTGTTAGTTACTTTGCTCATTGTTGATTTATTTCTAATTTAATTTTATCTCTAAGTTTAATGTTAAGAAAAAAAAGTATTTATTTCATCGCTCACTCTTTTTATAAAAGAGTAGAACAAAAGAGAAAGAAAAGTTTTGCATAATTAAACTTCTAATGAATAAGAGTTGTATAGAATATCTATTTTTTTTACGTCACCCGTTCTTTTTTTAGATGAGAGAAATAAAAGGTTTAATAATAAACTTTTCTTTGAATAAATGAAAATTGGAAGAGAAAATTGCTTGAAAACTTGTATTTATCAATTTCGTTAGTTTTTTAATTTTCCTTGTTAATAGACAAATGCCAAATACGACACATAAATTGGCAAATACCAAATATAATGTTTTTTAACGCGCGTTATGACATTTTGACAATTTAAATTATCATTTATCTTGAATTATTGCCATTGATTAATGTGTTAATTATTGCATTAATTAATAATAATTTGTCCATATTTTTGTTAAATATTAGTTGTATAAAACGGGCGAAAATATACAAACTTCATGTTTTTTATTTGATGGTTATAAAATATTGAACAGTAAACTTATAATCAAAATTTATAATGCCGACTTATGCTGCATTTAATTGTACTTGTAATGCAAAATCAGGATCTCACATATCCTTTTATGAATTTTTATATCTGATACTACTGTCAACTGTATTGTTTAGTGTATTCTTGTACTTTTTTTTATAACCTTAACAGGTTCTAATTGGTATGGAGTTGCCAACATTTTAAAAGTTTTATTATCAAAAATCAAATGTAAAATAAAATGATATTTCCTTTTTATCCATATCCAATTCAGCAAATTTAGCAATTTAAATTAAATTAATGTAATCAAAAATTTAACAGTTCATTAAATCTCTCTAATTAATATTGTCAGTTAATGAAAGTAATTGTTAATACTTTTTTTTTTACAGGAAAACAAAAATTTCAATTGCGTAAAAATGACCAGAAAAGTTAAAAAAAAGTTCCCACTGTTTTAAATGAAAATAAGTAAGATTTAGAATATATAATACTGCGCTCTCTTGCACAAAAACAAAAGACCGTATTTGTAAAGCTTCAATATCTGTTTTAATTTAAAAACAAAAGAAATATAAGTAAGATATATAAATCTAAAAATTATGAAGATATCTGTAAAAAATAAGTTGTTATATAATACTATATAATATATAATACTGCACTCTCTTGCACAAAAACAAAAGATCGTATTTGTAAAGCTTCAATATCTGTTTTAATTTAAAAACAAAAAAAACAGGTAAGATATATGAATCTAAAAATTATGAAGATATCTGTAAAAAATAAGTTGCTCCTATAAAATAAAAATAATTTGTTATTTTTGCTTTTTACCAAAAATTTTCTGCAATGTTTGGAAAAATAATACAAAAAAATTTGTTTTGCTGTATGTAAAAATACTACACCGCACTTTTTGAATCAAAGTAGAAAATCGCAGCTTTGTTTAATTACACTTTTCATTTCTTAAAAGTCTACCATGACATCAAATACAAAAACTTTTATAAATTAAACGCGTTTTAAAGAAATCCCCGAAGTCTGTAGATCGCAAAGTATAATTAAAAGACTACGAGTAATTGAATAAAATGGAGAAGGCGAGCTTCGGCTATATAGATAATTAAAAGACTACGAGTAATTGAATAAAATGGAGAAGGCGAGCTTCGGCTAAAACAACAATATTAGTTTTTCTCGGTATGATTCATTATTTATTTTTAATCAAAAAAACTTGGTTCAAACCGTTTTTTTTTTAACATTATCTTTAATATGAACACAACATGTGTTGGGAGTTTGAGATCCCTTTAAGGTATCTGAATATATATTTAGATTTTTAAATTTGTTCTTATATGTTTTCATCTTTTTTATTACTTTAGATAAACATATACTGACTGACATTGCCAAAAAAATATGGATTTTAATAAATCCTAAATTAAATTGTTATGGGTTTTTATTTTAAAAATTGTTATTTTGAATAATAATAATAAATTATTTTAATTTTTGTTTATTAATTTTTGAGCTCAATGGTAAACCAGTAGTTAAACTAATGAGTTAAATTGTAGAGTTTTATATATCATATATTCCAAAGTAATTGCATTTGATTTTTTTTTTTTTTTAATACATTGCTTAACATAATACATTTTCTTTTTTTTGTTGTTGTTTTTCACATATTCCAAAGTAATTGCATTTGATTTTTTTTTTTTTTTTAATACATTGCTTAACATAAGACATTTTCTTTTTTTTGTTGTTTTTTTTTTTTTTTTTTTAAGGAGTTTTAAATAGTTAAATAAAATTGCTTTATAGATAAGAAACCAAGATAGATTCAACATTGTGTTTTTGTTTTTAATACCAAATAATATCTTGGTTATTAGGATTGCAGGTTTTTGTTCACAGTTATTATATATCTTGGTGTATTCATTGAATGCAATCTTTCATGGAACTTTCATATTAATGAACTAAGCAAGAAACTCGAGATAACGGTATGCTTTCGATAATTCGTCATTATGTATATATATCCTTACGATTAAAATATTCTTTTAATTTTCTTTTCGTCATTACTACAATTATCATCAGTACTTTTTGTATATTTTTTTCTTTTTTTTATTATTAAAACCTGCAAATTATGATTTCTACATGTTTATTTTAATGTATGTTCTATGTGCTTTAATCTATGTGTTTACAGTCCATATGTTTCAATGCATGTCTTTGCTTATTATTACTTATATTATGTTTAAAATATGGTGTCACTCCTTTGATCAGATTTCTGAATGAGTGACACCATCCTATATAAAATAATTTTATGCTCATAACTACCATTATAATATTAGTTATTATTATTATTTTTTCATTGTAATTATTGTACTAATAATTATTTGTAATTATTATTAGACTATCAATATTTTGATATTTTTATTTAATTTCTTTTCTTTTTTTTTTTGGATGGATGCTATTAGGCTTAAATAAGTTGTTAGAAGAAATACTATCAACTTAAAAATAATTGATAATTTAGTGAAATGATTAGAACTAGGAAAGCTGAAGTTAATTGTCATCAAAGTATAAGAAATGCTGCTTGGTAAGAAGAATTTAATTTATACCTAAATTAGAACATCATGGTTAGACAAGTTGAAAGTAATTATCACATAAATGTAAGAGATATGCCTAGACACGATTAATCATTCGTGAAATGTAAGAAATGCTGCTATACAATCAAAATGTATTGTATAGCAAGAAGTGATACTATTCTAGATTATAATTACTTATAATAAATGACCCAGATCTGTCAGCATTGTTGTGCTAAAAAATTTCTTGATGAAATACATTTTTTATGTTGCCATAATAAAGATAGTTTAACTTAGATCCTATAGTTTATTCACTTTTTTTTCCTAAGAGATGGCATAATTAGTGCACAATCCTGACCATGCAACATTAGTTAAAAATCGTGTATCTCATTTTTACAATAAATTTTAAGTTGAAATATGATTAGAAAAGATCACAATTTGTAAGATATTTCTTATTTATTATCCAGTTGTAACAATATTAGTAATATGTTTAATGATAATAGTGAAATAGAAATGGATAATATTAGGCTCGAAGAAATTATTAGTATAAATGCTAATAGGCAACTTAAAAAAAGTTGTTGTCAAATAAAAGAGATCTAGGTAGGATAAAATTAATCGTTGTTGAAATGTAAGTAATGCTGCTCAGCGAGCAGAAAACTTACTTGCAAGAATTCAGTGTCAAGCAGTGTTAATGTTTGTTAATTTGATTTTATTTTAGACACTTGGGAACAAATCAAAGTATGAATTTTTTTTAAATCTTTTCTTTTTTAATTATTTTGGAGACACATAGAAATGTGAGCTTGCAAATATCTTATGCTATGTGCTATTGTTACTGTTTTGTGTTGATAGAACTAGGCTGTTATAGCTATTTTATTACTTTTTATATTGTTATATTATTATTTTAATTCTACTAACAATAAAATGCAAATAATACTTCTGTAATTTAAAATTGTAATTTTTGTTTTCATTTCTTTTTTTAGGTATTTGCAGGCTTTACTTGACTTTCCTTTACTGGTACCTACTGTGTTGTGACAGATTTTAAAAAAAACTTAACTGATAATAAGGCAGTCTTTATGTTGCTAAATATAAGCAATGACATTGCTAATAGGGAGACAAACTTTTTTAAAAAATTGAATACAAATTTATCTACAAAAAATTTATAGATAAATTTGTATTCAATTTTTTAGATAATATATCAATTTATTAATGTGTTTTTATTGTTATAAATAATTTAATTACTAATAACCCGTATTATGGGTTGCTTACTGCTAGTATATAAATGTATATTAAATACCCAAAATTTAAATAAATAAATATCTAAAAAAGAAATGTTAAAAAAAAATTTTTTAGAGATTACTTTGTTTGCAAATTTATCTTTAATTTGTAGCTCTTTTTCATTATATAACATTCTTAACTCTTCTTCTTGTTTTTTCAAACCAACAGATAACACACTATCCTTATATTCTTTTAAGAGTTCTTCTCGCATTGATGCTTCATTACGTGCACTTTCTTCTCTAATCTGAATTATAATCGTGTCTTTTTTATCAAGTTCTTCTTGAAGACTAGCAAGTTTAGAAAGCAAATTTTGTTGCATGCTATCTGTATATTTTTCTTTCTTCAAATTTTTCTCATCTTTAAAACTAGTAGACTAAAGAAAAATCTTCATCTAATTTATAAAATGACTTTTGTGTCTAAAAATAATTTTAAAACTAAAAAAAACTTACTCTTTCAGATAATGATGATTTTAGCAAATCAACCTAGTATTAAAAAAATATGAATTATGGTAAAAATGTTATTAACTTTGCAAAACAATAAAAAACAAAATTTCAAATGTTTCTGCAACTTGATATTTTTTTAAAAGACGAGGAAAATTTTGTAAAATTTATCTCAACTTTTATAAAATTCTTCTAAACTGTTACAAAAACCTACTTAACAACAAAATTTGTTCTTAAAATTTCTTTAACAACTTATGAGGATTATCTAACATCTAGGATCACCTTAAAAGGATATCAAACTCCCAACAAATGTTGTGTTCATATTAAAGATAATGTTAAAAAAAAACGATTTGAACCAAGTTTTTTTGATTAAAATTAAAAAATGAATGCATACCAAGAAAAACTAATGTTGTTGTTTTAGCCGAAGCTCGCCTTCGGCTAAAACAACAACATTAGTTATAAAAAATCATAAAAATTCATTAGTTATAAAAAATCATAAAAAATCATAAAAAACAACAATTGGAGTCTTTAAATTAAACATTGCAATCTACAGACTTTGGCGATTCCTTTGAAGCGCATTTAATTCATAAAAGTTTTAGCATTCAACGTCACGGTAGATTTTTAACAAAAGAAAAGTGTAAATAAACAAAGCTGCGTTTCTCTACTTTAATTCAAAAAGTAGGATGTAGTAATTTTTTAACATACAACAAAACAACTTTTACAACAAATTTTTGTAAAAATCAAAAATAATAAAAGTTTTTTATTTCATAAGAGCATTTTTTTTTTACCGATATCTTAATAATTTTCAGATTTATATATCTTATAATTCTTTTGTTTTTAAATTAAAACAAATATTAAAGCTTTACTTACGAATCTTATGATTTTTTATATGAGTGTCTTACATTATATAGAACATTATGTATACGGTCTCTCGTTTTTGTGCTAGAGAGCGCAGTATTATATATTCTGAACCTTACTTAATTTTATTTAAACAATGGGAACTTTTTTCTAACTTCTCTGGTTATTTTTACGCTATGATATTTTTTGTTTTCCCGTCGAAAAAAAGTATTTACAATTAATTTCATAAACTGACAGTATTAATTTGAGATATTTGATGAATTGTTAACTTTTTTTCTTATAAAAATTTTTTGATTACACTTATTTATTTTAAATTGCTAAATTTGCTGAATTGGATACGAATAAAAAGGAAATATCATTTTATTTTACATTTGATTTTTGATAATGAAACTTTTAAAATGTCAGCAACTCCTTACCAATTAGAACCTGTTAAGGTTATGAAAAAAAAGTACAAGAATACACCAAACAATACAGTTGACAGTAGTATCAGATATGAAAATTCATGAAAGGATATGTGAAATCCTGGTTTTGCATTAAAAATACAATTATTAGCAACACAAATCGGCATTATAAATTTTGATTATAAGTTTACTGTTCAATATTTTATAACCATCAAATAAAAAACATGAAGTTTGTATATTTTCGCCCATTTTATACAACTAATATTTAACAAAAATACGGACAAATTATTATTAATTAACGCAATAATTAACACATTAATTAATGGCAATAATTCAAGATAAATAATTTAAATTGTCAAAATGTCATAACGCACGTTAAAAAACATATTATATTTGGTATTTGCCAATTTATGTGTCGTATTTGGCATTTGTCTCTTTACATGAAAAATTAAAAAATTTTAAAACACAACAAATAGAAATTTTCAAGCAATTTTCTCTTCCAATTCTCATTTATTCAAAGAAAAGTTACTATTAAACTTTTATTTCTCTTATCTAAAAAAAGAACGAGTGACGCAGACAAAAAAAATATTCTATACAACTCTTATTCATTCAAAGTTGAATTATGCAAAACTTTTCTTTTTCTTTTGTTCTACTCTTTTATAAAAAGAGCAAGCGATGAAATAAAAACTTTTTTCTCTTAACATAAATTTATACTTAGAGATAAAATTAAATTAGAAATAAATCAAGAATAAGCAAAGCAACTAACAGATTAATCTGGGACTATTTTGATATTAATCAACATTAATCAACAAAAACAACATTACCAACAGCAATTATCAGATAAACAACACAATATCGCATAATTTTAGGGGTTTTTTATTTTTATTGTTTAGTCGTTCTAAATAATAAGTAATTTTAGTTCAAGTTAATATTTCAATATTTACAGTTGCAACATAAAAAAGAAACGATGTTTAATGTTGAACTTTTTATTTAATTATTTATTTTTTACCTACATTTGTTATAAAAAACTTTCAAACCCCCATTCATTAAAATAAATTGTTTTAAATTTATTTCAAAGTGATTATTCTAACTAATTTTTTTCGCTTGACTTCCCGAACTTCATGCAAAGCAAATTGAGGCGAAATATTGTCTAACCAAATAAAAATGCTGTTACTAATTTTATAAGGGTAATTAATGTAAAACAATTTTTTATCAGAGTCTTGATTGAGATAATAAATATTCATAACTTATAAACGTTAAATATATGGGGCAATAACAATTTATGGCAATGAACCAGCATAAAATATTTGAGATTTTTAATATCATTTTAAATGTTAAAAATAGAAAAAAAAAACTAAACAAATAATCAGAAAAAGTTCGAATAAAAATAAATAAAAATATTTCCAGAGTTTCATTTGTTAAAAGTCTACCGCGACGTCAAATACTAAAACTTTTATGAATTAAACGCGCTTCAAAGGAATCGCCAAAGTCTGTAGATAGCGACATATAATTTAAAGACTCAGAGTTATTGAAAAAAATGGAGAAGGTGAGCTTCGGTTAAAACAACAACATTAGTTTTTCTCGGTATGCATTCATTATTTATTTTTAATCAAAAAAAATTGGTTCAACCCATTTTTTTTAACTTTATCTTTAATATGAACACAACATGTGTCGAGAGTTTAGGATTCCTTTAACAACCACACCAAAAAAAAAAAAATTTATATAGTTTAAACCCTACAGAGTCCCTAGTACCTCTTTCAAAATGTTTCTCAACATTGTGTTTTGGAGTTAAAGGATGGAGGAATAAAACTATATACTTTGAAACAAAATCTTAATTTCAAAATGTTGTTACTGGAAGATGAAGTTTACAAATCAAGATAATGATTAACAGATGACTTAAAAGATTAAAAATTATATGAATCAAATCACTTTCTAGAATTTTTAAAAATAGAGATAACAGATGTTGCATTTCAGCAGCAAAACAAGACTCTAATCAGCACTTGTTAAATAGTTTTGAAATTAATGACGACAGCTCTGGAGAACACTTCTGCAAGACTATGACAGGTATGTTGTCCGGACCACAAGCTGTAGAAGAGTTAACACAGGAAACCATTTTAGAAACAGAAGCTGGAATGAAACGATTGTCAAGTTGTGAATCAACCTGTTTATCAGCTATATCAGGAAAGATGTGGTTAGTGGAATCAAGAGATTAGATTAATCAAAAGTTCTTAGCAAACAATTCAGCATTGTCTTTAGGTGAGGTTACAAAATCTAAACTATTCAAAAGAGGTGGAATAACAGATTTGCCCTTATTATAAACACTGTTAAAAATTCTCCAGAAGTCTCAAGAGCCTTATCTTTGAGATGAAACACAAAATTTTGTGACCTGAGAATAGCAGACTTTTTTACAATGGTTTCTAGCAATAGTAAACAGATGTCAATTTTCAGAAGTAATGGTTATGATCTGAAATCACAGCACATTGAGAGGAAAATCATGAAGAGTGAGGCTTGACTTGGAATCGTCGAAAGTAATAAAAGATTCCATACCAGCCTAAATCCAAGAAGTTACATTATTAGCACGTTTGTCAGCAGAAAGAAATAAGATTTCTACCCAAGGTCCACTACAAAGAAAATCACAGAAAGAGTCCCAGTCAGCTTTAAGGTATTTGTAAGAAGTACCATGATAGGGGGATTCTGATGATGAAAAAGAATAAGATAATAGTTTTAGAGATATCAAACCATGATCAGAAGCACCTAAGCACTTGATCAGCAATGACAACAATATAGAACAAAGAGAAAGGTGATAGAGTTAAATGGTGCTAAACGAAAGCACATAAAAGAATAGTCTGTGAATTCAAACCTAGTTTCCCATCAAATGGGTGAATTCTTACAAATGTAAATAAACAAAACTTTTTTATAATTGATTAGACACACAAATATTTTTACTTGAGTACGTAACGCATATATTTGTTGATCTTTCTCTTCTAAGTTAATATTCAAAACTTCCTCCATGTGTCGCTTCCCTTCTTTTTCAAGTTCAATTGTCTGTAAAATAAACAAAATGGAACAAAAATCTTTAATGTTCTCAATAATTTAAAAGGAAAAAATAAAAAATATAAATATTTTACCTCTTTGAGTTCTTTGATTCTTTGTAACTGTTTATCTTGTCCATTGGTCAACGCTCCCTAATAATGAAGTAGTAGTATTAATAATACAAAACAGTTTATATAAATATTTTTTAGTTAATAATGGCCATAACCTGTTTTATTTCTTAGAAATATTTGAAGGTACACCCACAAGTTTTATAGATTTCAGATTTTATTTTGTTACAAATTTAATACTCTTTCTTTATATATATATATTGCATTTTGTGAAATTTTTAAAATTTTTTTGAGCCCATTGTTAAAAGAAACAAGCATTAGTTTCCATAAAATGCAAAAAATACCAAAATGTAATCAAAAATAAATCTGTGAAGAAAACAATGCATCATTATGATGAGTCATTTCGCCTGGGCTCACAGAAAAGTTAATGGTAATGATACTTTTTACTCAAGCAGCTTTAACTCAAAAGTTTAAAAACTGTAATTTGTCCCTAGTGGCTATTGCATCAAGAAACAATTACTTTTTTATTAAAGAATAATGATAACTAATACTTATTTTGACCTAGCTTCTTAACATTATTTCAAAACAGTGATATCATTCTTTGAAAAAAATTCAATAAACTATAAAGTTAAAGTGGATAACCCACCAAACATCTCAGAACATCACCCAACTGAGGACTTCTAGAGTATTCTAAAAGGAATGGTATATACAAAGAACTTTATCTGAATCAACTTTGTATTATGATAAATAACTGCCTCGAAAAAGTTGACAAGAACCTTGCAAAAAATCTTGTCAAATGAACTTATTCTTAATATGGGAAAGTCAGACTGATAAAAAAAAAAAATTAATATTAAAACTAATAGAAAAATAAATACTCTATACAAAATATTGTTTAATTTGTAATTTAAAAAATTAGGTAATTATAGAAATTTATATTACAGAAATTTATCACATTTTTATTAGACAGTAATTAGTTCTACATTTATATAGATAATTTTCACCTATACATTTATATAGATAATTTTCTATTTCATTCTCTCATTACTATATGGCATGGATAAGCAATTTTTTATAACCAGGTACCCTTCTTAATGTAAAACTGTTTTTCGTATTTGGACTGACTATTTTTATTGTGATAGCACCACTAGAAGATTACCATCCAATGTTTATAAATTTCTCTTAAATTAAAATCCTCCTACTTGGCCATATAATACCACAAATAATACCACAAATGTTGAGGGATATAAAATCAGAGCTTGATAAAATCTGAGTTTTGTGATAACAAATTTATTACAAAATATAAATCATAGCATTTCAAATATCTAAAATGAATTTACCTCTAACTTTTCCTTTTCTTTTTGCATTGATTTATATGCACTTACAAGCTGAAAAAATATACATAATAGATTAAAAATATATAAAATTGATACAGCACCATTTTTAAAGGTTCTGAATCCAAAGATGAAAAGAAAAAAATACGATTCGAAATATTTGATATTCATAAACAACTTTAGTAGTTTAAATTTTTTAGTAAATTTTAGTCTTACTAAAACTTGGTACTAATAAATTTTAGTAGCACTAAAACTTATTATTACTAAAATTATTAAATTAATAAAATCAACCATTTTAAAATCGAACAAATATCATCAAAAACCAACTAAAAAAAAAACATAAACTACATTTTTTTCTCTACATTTTGAATTTTCAGGTACCTATTTTTAGCCATATATTTCCACTAAACCATAAATTCATTAAGAAGTACAACTAAAAAATCTATATTGACAGACTTAGTAAAAAAATGGCTATTTTTGACCAAATTTCAAAAAGTCACAACTTTTGATTTGTCTAGATTTAGGAGCTAAAACTTTATATTTTGTTATGTTTTATCAATAGGTACCACGGTTAAAATTTAAAACTTTATATTTTGTTATGTTCTATCAATAGGTACCACGGTTAAAATTTAAAACTTTATATTTTGTTATGTTCTATCAATAGGTACCACGGTTAAAATTTAAAACTTTATATTTTGTTATGTTCTATCAATAGGTACCACGGTTAAAATTTAAAACTTTATATTTTGTTATGTTTTATCAATAGGTACCACGGTTAAAATTTAAAACTTTATATTTTGTTATGTTTTATCACCACGGTTAAAATTTAAAATAAATCTGAGTAATTATTCTACACTATAAAAAATAACTGTAAAAACAACTTCACAATAAAAATACTAAAATAACTATTGTTAAAAACAGCCATATACATCAACAGTTATTGACTATAACAGTTACGACTGCAAAACTAAATAATGAACTGAATTTTTTGTAATGATTATCATATACAATTAAAATAAAAAATTCATTTTCAAGCACACTTGGTGTATAGAAATATCATTAAAAATTGCATTTTTACAATGGTTTTCAGAAATATTTCAGGAAAATTTTATAACTAACATTTTTTAAATCATTTAAAAAAATATGCAGTTTGCTATAAAAATGTCAGATTTGAATTCAGCATATTTGGGTAAAAACAAGTATCAAAATCTCAAATTTTTGTAGTTTTACTGCAAACACCCATCTAAAATTATTACTAACACACTACTAAATTTTTTATAAAGCATGCTACTAAATTTATTACAAACATACTACTAAAATTATTACAAACACAACTAAAATTATTATAAACACACAACTAAAATTGTTACCAACACACTACTAAAATTAATACAAAGGCTTTACTAAATTTAATACAAATATACTATTAAAAGTATTACAAACATCCTACTAAAATTATTACAAACATACGGTTAAATTCATTACAAACATACAATTAAAATTACTTTAAACACGCTACTAAAATTACTACAGACACGCTACTAAAAATACTACAAACACACTAGTAAAACTTTTCTTTCAAATCTTAATGTTTGTTTAAAAACTTAAAAAAAAGAACAAAAGTTTTGCCAGCGTTTTAATTACACTATGTAAGAAATTTTCACTTTTGTTCTGTTCCTGGGTTGAAAGTGAGTTTTCCTAACCCATTAGGCCTAGAACAGAAAGGAAATCGCTATTATTCTAGAAAACTTTACTCGTGTGACCAGGACAATGAATTTTTGGAAAATCGTGTGTTTTCTAGAAAATTCTTGATTTGCTTTCAATGCGGAGCTTCCTCCAATAATATTCCTGAACTGTTAGAGTTATCCAGATATTTTTACAATTCTCCTAAACACTCTATAATGTTCAAGAAACTTCCAGAACTTTCGTGAAACTTTCAGAACTTTCGTGAAACTTTCAGAACTTTCATGAAACTTTCAGAACTTTCGTGAAACTTTCAGAACTTTCGTGAAACTTTCAGAACTTTCGTGAAACTTTCAGAACTTTCTAGAACATTCTTGAACTTTCAGAACGTTTCTAGAACATTCTTGAACGTTCTAAAAGTAGCTGTACAAGTATAAAAATACATCTTGAACCAAGGTTCCAGTTTATGTTATTGTAGACTGAAAGGTTAACGATTCGTAGTTCATCAAAGATTCTCAAACCTCTTCATTCAGCATGATGGTTTGTGCTTTTGCAACCATGTTGTTGGTGTATTCCAGGCTATAGGTATCGCATGTAATCCTAGTAAAAGGTGCCTATTCTTAGACGATTTATCTTGGAGCCTCAAAGCCTTGTTGCTTCACAATGAAAACAACTACCCATTCTCCTGATGGCCCATTGTGCATCTCAAAGAGGACTATACCAATGTGGATATGTTGCTGAGTGGATTAAAGTATGACCCTATGGATGCAAGGTCATTGGTGATTTCAAAATGATATCATTCCTCATGGGTCTTCAAGGAGGCTATACAAAATTTCCTTACTTCCTCTGTCTCTGGGACAGCCATGACACTAAGGCCCTTTATCGCATAAAGGACTAGCCACAACGACCATGTTTTCTGTTGGGAAGAGCAATATGAAGTGGAAGCCGCTGATAGAACCTCATAAAGTGCTTATGCCACTGCTGCACATCAAGTTAGGCCTCATTAAGCAATTTGTCACTGCTCTTGACAAGGAATCAGCAGCATTTCAATACCTCCAAGAGCTTTTTCCAAAGCTGTCTAAGGCTAAGGTCAAGGCTGGTATATTTGTTGGATCATTAAGAAGATCATAGAATGTGAGGATTTCGCAAAGCTGTTGAACAGGACGGAAAGTGCAGCTTGGAGCAGTCTTGTTGTAGTTGTACAGGGCTTCCTAGGTAATCGTAAAACTGAAAACTATGTGGAGTTGGTGCAGATTCTCATAAAGAATTACACCAAAATGGGATGCAGAATGTCTCTGAAAGTCCATATCCTTGATTGCATATCAACAAATTCAAGGAAAACATCTGTGCTTACTCCAAGAAGTAAGGCAAGCACTTTCATCAAAATATATTGGACTTTAAATGTTGTTGCCAAAGACAGTATTACAAAAAACATTACAGGGAACTAAATTTGGGGGCTACTTTAAGAGACTGATTCATAGTACAATCGTAAATTTAGAAAATCTAAACATTTCTGAACCTTGTTGAAAGGTTTCCGACTGGGTTTGTAAGTTTGAAACCTCCTTGAAGTCTCATGAAGAATGATATCATTTTGAAGTCACCAACGACCTCCCATCCATAGTTGTCATACTTTTATGCACTCAGCAACATTATTCCTTGAGCAATTTTTGTTTTTACCTGATCATAATGATAAAAATGAAACAAAATCATTCTACTTTGACAAAAATTTCTTTGTGCTGTTGTCATTTAAGCAAAGTTAATGCTTAATGAAGTGATTTTTTCACATACTTTAGAAATAAGCAATTGAAATATAACACAAAAGCCAGGAACAAAAATTGTGTTACAGAGTGTTATTTTATTTAGAGTTAATAAAACATTTGTTTTTCCATTTTTATTATAACTGTTTTGTTTACAATTTAAATTTTGTCAGTTTGTTTTAATTATTTTATTAGGAATTTAAAAGAAAAGTCATTTTTCCTCTTTTATTAATTTAAAATGTACTTAAATTGTTTGCTTTTATTTTAATAATTTTATTAGAATTTAAGTAAAATATTCATTTAGCTGTTGCGCTTTTAAAATTAATTTATTCAGAATTTAAATAAAGTGTTTGTTATCCAGTTTTTATTTTAATTATTTTATTTAGAATTTGAATAAAATCTTTGTTTTTCCTTTTTTTTTTTAATTTAGAATATAATAAAAATGTTTGAATTTTTATTTTATTTTTATAGGTATATTAGAATTTAAGTAAAATATTCAATTTGCTGTTGTATTTTTAAAATTAATTTATGAAGAACTTAAATAAAATGTGTGTTATTTTAATTTGTTTTCTTTTAATTATTAAATTAAATAAAATGGTTGTTTTGCTGTTTTTATTCTAACAATTCTATCTAAAATAAATAAATAAAATGCTCATTTTACTATTTTAAATTTATTTAAAGCAATAAAAGAAAAAACTTTAATTTTGAAGTCAGCAAAAAGTTGCAGACCTCAGACCTTAGAAATATTTTATCAACCTCAGACTTTAAGGTTGGCATTGCAGAATGTCAACCCTAATTATGAGGGTACTACTAAAAATAATTCAATAAACAGTTTAATAAAATAATTCAATTTAAAAAAATCAATTGTTAATATTTTGTTTATATTTGTATAATGTATGGAGTCAATTCCATGCAACAAATTTAATTTTAAATAAATCTAAAATATATAATTTATATACAAATATAAAATAATATGTTACAAATATAACATAATATGTCAACATAATATGTTTACAAATAATAATATGTTTAAAAATAATCCTTCGATCAACAAATAAATACCTCTGAAAACTTCAGCTTGAACTTTTTTAAAATTTGGTTTTGTTTTTTAAAAGCAATTCTTAAATCATGAATATTCATCTGATCAAACTTTATTGTTGAATCTATGTCTGATTCAACATCTGATCTTTCATCTACACCGGCATTTGAAGATATAGAGATTCTTCTATCACTCAATGAAAGAGGTTCTGAGGCAACAAATGATTCATTTGGAGTACTTTCTTGAAGAGGAAAATTCTCATCTTCATTAAGATCAGAGGGTCTCCTATTGTATTCATGCTGTTTATGCAAAGGAGATGAATACAAACTTGACAATGGAGAGGCTGATTCATCAATCTTACCATTATTTTGGGCTTGAGCACGACCAACCTAAAATCATATTATACTAAATTTTATAAAAACAAATATTAAAATACATTCTATGGTTTATAATTAGCTTATTAAAAAATTTTATTATTTGGGAAAGACGTTTTCATTATTTATTTATATTCAAACCTCCAACAAATGTTGAACACGAGCTAACACTTCTTGAGGGCTAGCATTATGAGGGTTACCATTTGGATAAGATTTGCTATTTTTCGTAGAATCATTAGTATAGGACTCTTCCACCATTTTCATATATTTTCCCCTTGAAACTAGCTGCAAATAAATTTTATTTATGATTTAATTTTTAATATGGTTATTTATAAGTTATTTTTAAGCTTTTATACATATTTATATATATATATATATATATATATATATATATATATATATATATATATATATATATATATATATATATATATACATATATATATATATATATATATATATATATATATATATATATATATATATATATATATATATATATATATATATATATATATATATATATATATATATATATATATATATATATATAATGTTTGTTATATTTTAATATTACAATATTACAATTATTAATTTTATTTTATTTGTATTTTTATCTATTATCATTTTTATTAATATTTTATATTAATTTTCATATTTTAATTTTTAATATTATCATTATTATTGTTATTATTGTTATTATAATCAGCGCTCAAAATAATTACTTGAAGATTGTTATGGTCTTAAAACTATGTTTAATTTAGCAATCATAAACATTTTATAATTTTAATGCTAATTTAATAACTTTACCATTTTTTTTTAAATGTTAAAATTTTTTTTAATATAAAGTTTGACTGGCTAGCATTATGAGGGTTACCATTTGGATAAGATTTGCTATTTTTCGTAGAATCATTAGTATAGGACTCTTCCACCATTTTCATATATTTTCCCCTTGAAACTAGCTGCAAATAAATTTTATTTATGATTTAATTTTTAATATGGTTATTTATAAGTTATTTTTAAGCTTTTATACATATTTATATATATATATATATATATATATATATATATATATATATATATATATATATATATATATATATATATATATATATATATATATATATATATATATATATACATATATATATATATATATATATATATATATATATATATATATATATATATATATATATATATATATATATATATATATATATATATATATATATATATATATATATATATATATATATATATATATAATGTTTGTTATATTTTAATATTACAATATTACAATTATTAATTTTATTTTATTTGTATTTTTATCTATTATCATTTTTATTAATATTTTATATTAATTTTCATATATTAATTTTTAATATTATCATTATTATTGTTATTATTGTTATTATAATCAGCGCTCAAAATAATTACTTGAAGATTGTTATGGTCTTAAAACTATGTTTAATTTAGCAATCATAAACATTTTATAATTTTAATGCTAATTTAATAACTTTACCATTTTTTTTTAAATGTTAAAATTTTTTTTAATATAAAGTTTGACTTGCAAATTTTCGCAATCAAATTTAAATCATTAATAACTAATTTTGGGAGTTTAAAGTACTTTGAAAAGGTACTAGGAAAAATTGATAATTATCAATTTTTCCTCAAATCCACGATCATTGATTGTTGATAGGTTGATATTTCGAGTGCTGTATTTTTTTTTTTTGTAATTTTTTTTGTCTTTGCTTTAAGTTTTCGCTAATTTTGGTGTTTAAAATAGAAAATTTTAATTTTATATAAAGTGTTAAATGTTTTACATAATTCTACTTAAAAGAGGATGCTGATCTTGATTTGAAACTATTATTATCATTATTAGATAATTCTATATTAAATCATGGTCCATTTAACTCGGTGTTTTTTATTTTGTTTCATATTTTGACACTTGATTCCTATTTACAATAAAACATGGTAAAAATATCATGGGTAACATGGTTAAAATTTCATTACCCAAACATGTATAAAACTTTCAGCCAAAAATTTTAAATGATTCTCTAAATAGTGCATTTTTAATATTGATATGGTATCCCAATACGACCTAGCTTTCATGACATTTTTAAAAAAAGTTACATCGAGAAATTGCTGAGGCAAAACTATGAAAATCAGTGTTTTTAATGCTTTTTTAATGAAGAATTCAAAAAATTATAAAAATAAGTGTTTTAAATGCTTTTTTAATGAAGAATTCAAAAAAAATTATTTAAATTACTTATCTTACTTACAAAATTCTGATTAACATAGAAATATATATTTTTGGTTGAGCATTTAATTTGGTTTATTGAAACATTTAGATGAAAAAAACATGTCAAATTCTAGGAAATCATACATAATTTTTAATAAATTCTAGGAAATCCTACATAATTTTTTGTGACAACTAATTAAATCTTAAAAATTGAAAATTCTGTTTTCTTTTCTTATCATATAATTTATATAAAGACTAAGTGTGGATTTGTTTTTTAAATGTTGGCAATTATATAGTTTGTAAAATGTTCAGCTGAAAAACAAAATATGTTTATAATATTTTATTTTACTAGTAGATAAATTAACAATATCTACTAGTAAAAAACATTTTAATAATTAAATTTCAAATTAAAAAAAGGTAAAAAAAAGAATTATTTCTATTTTAAATTTTTTTGTTACTAAAAACAACTTTGGAAAAAAGAACTCTTATTCTTATTCAATTGTTTGAAATGCTTGCTTCTTAATGGTCCGAGTAAATCACTTTTATTAAGTTGTGTGCTATTGGTTTAATAATATCAATGGCATGCAAAAGCCAACAAAATATTATTGAAACTTTAAACAATACAAAAAAATGATTATATCTTTATGCTGCAACTTGTGAAAGATGTTACTTACAAAACTTTGAAAATATATCCTATATATATCCTATATTATAAATGTATCCTATATGGCAAAAAGCTCAGAAACATATACGCAAAAATATACGTTCAAAAGAAAACCAAAAGATTGCACACAACAAAAAAAGTGATAAAGAGTATAACTTAAAAATTAAAGGCTCTGTCAATGTCCTTTATTAAAAACCTGCGATACAATAAAAATTTTCAGAAAGAAACCCAAAAATTTAATTTAAGAATTTATCAATAAATTTAATTAATGAATTTATGGGTCTGAAAAAACAGAAAAAGCTGTATTTCAGCAAAATTACTACTGTTTAACTATTTGCACTCCAACTGGGTTGATATTAACAATTCACATTTGCACTCCAACTTGGTTGATTTTAACTATTCACATTTGCACTCCAACTTGGTTGATATTAGAAGTACCAAAGAAAGATTTTTAGTAAAAGGACTATTTAATAATTCTCTATCATATAAAAGTAAAGTTTTACATAAAGATGTAAAAGATTATTTACTATGACTCAATCAATTTTTGTTAAATCTTGAAAAAAATTTGTAAAATTTTGAAAAACATTTGTAAACAAAAATACTTTTGTGTAATTAAAAGTAACTACAATTATTATTTCATACAAAAAAATTAAAAAATCAATAAATTTGAATAAGCTAATCAATATGTGCTTATTCAAATTTATTGTAAGGTTAATAATGTTGCATGTAAATAAGGTTAATAATATTGCATGTCATTATACAACTTTCTGATTCAAACTCTCTTGGAATTTTTCTGAGGAAATCCTAGTCATTTTTAATGAAAGATTTTTGTTTCTTTACAATCGGTGATATAATTATATGTAAAAACTGACTCAAATGAGATGTTGGCAAATTTATTCTGGCAATAATTAGTCTAGCTTTAAGATCCATTGGCAGTTTCATTTCAATAAATAAAGTCTGAATCTTTTACCTTATTAATGATTTCTTGACATTTATAAATTTTAGGAATTACATAGAAATGACTAGATTTCAGGCCTTGCGATAAAGCGTCGGGCGATGTGAATTTTACGTCGTCCAAGAGCGATTTTGCGTGTAGCTAGGGCTATTTGCGTCGAGCAAAAAATTTTTTGTTTGAGTATATTTAAAGATATTTTTGAGCGGAATTTTAATGAAGTAATTTACGATTATTTTAACATTTAATAAAGTATTTTAAAAACCGCACACAGTTGAAATAAAAGTTTGAATTAAAAAAAAATTAAATATGCTCATTATTTACAAGTAGAAAAAATTCAGATTAAAAAAAAAGTTTAAATCTTTTAAGCTAACATTTTAATAAAATTATTCAGCAATAGCAAAGTTTTCGATAAAATTGAACAAAAATACTTTCTTTTAGTTTTAGATTTTAAACTTAAATAATTATTTTACGGGGGTTTGTTAGGTTTTAAAAAAAAAGATTTAAAAATATTTATTAACTGTTAGACGTATTTAAAGTATTTAAGAGTAATTTCGAGGAAACATTTTAAAAATTAGAGAGCACAAAAAAAAAAAAAAAAAGGATTAATATTAAAACGTATTATACTTGATTCAATAAAAAAGTACAGTTATTAAAATTTTTGTAAAAAGTAACTCAAAAAAATTACTTAAATAATAACGATCGCTTTTATGTTAAAAGTTACTGAAACTCAACGAAGCGTGCTCAAGAACAGCTGCTGAAAAATAAAACGTCAATAGTTTTTCGAATAATTTTTAAAAATAATTTTTAAGAATAATTTTTTCGCTGAAATATTTCTTTTATACCTATAAGATTTTTATTCTAACATTTTATTTTATATTACTTGAAATAAAATTCCTTGTTAACATTAAAAATCTATTCAAAACGTTCGTTTAAGTTTTTTATTAATACGAGTGGTTGTGCTTATCAACCGCTTTTTGAAAATAAATAAAAATAAATAAATAAATATTTTATAAAATCGCTTGTAAAAATATTAGCTATGGCACAGTTTTTAATCGTACAATATTAAAATTTCCAGTTTATTACTTGCTGACTTTTTAAAAAGAAAAAATAATTATTTAAATTACATATTTAAGAAAAAAAAAATCAAATAT